GCTTGTTGGTTTTGTTTCTTAAATTCCACATACGAATGAGATCATATGGTATTTGTCTTTCTCTGGTGGACTTATTTTGCTTAGCATTATCCTCTCTAGCTCCATCCGTATTGCCATAAATGGATCAAAATTATTTTTAAAAAATTTTCATAGGTGCTGCCAATCCTCCCTCTGTGGAGGCTGTGCTCACTTATACTCCCACCAGCAGCATGAGAGTGCCTGGTATCACACAACCTTCTTGCCAACACAATGTCATCACACTTGTTAGTACTTGTTAATTTGGTGATTTAAAAAACAGTATCTCAGGGCGCCTGGGTGGCTCAGTCGTTAGGCGTCTGCCTTCGGTTCAGGTCATGATCCCAGGGTCCTGGGATCGAGCCCCACATCGGGCTCCCTGCTCAGCGGGAGGCCTGCTTCTCCCTCTCCCCCTGCTTGTGTTCCCTCTCTCACTGTGTCTCTCTCTGTCAAATAAATAAAATCCTAAAAAAACAAAACAGTATCTCATTGTGGTCCTAATTTTTATTTCTCTTACTATGGGTAAAATTGAGCATCTTTCCATATGTTTGTTTTTTAGGTAAATGCTATGCCCAACGTGGGGCTTGTAATCAAGACCCTGAGATCAAGAGTCCTATCTCTACTGACTGAGCCAGCCAGGTGTTCCAAGCATTTTTTCATATGTTTAAGAGGCATTTCTTTTTCTGTTCATATCCTTTGACCATTTTTCTATCAGTTGTTGACCTTTTATTTATTGATTTATAGGTGTTCTTTATATATTAAGGAAATTAGCTCTTTGATTATGTCACTTTTTTTTTTTACATGGTTGATTTAAAATGTCTTATGGTTTTAGCTCTGGGAATTAATTTTTAAGATGTATATATAGTAAGGTTTTTCATTTTTTATTTTATAGACTCTCTTAAGTTTTGTGTATGCTGCATGAAACTTAGAAACTTTTGTGTATATAATAGACTTGAAAGGTCTATCCACTTCAAGAAAAATATGGGGCCCCTGGGTGGCTCAGGCGTTAAGCGGCTGCCTTCAGCTCAGGTTCATGATCCCAGGGTCCTGGAATCGAGCCCCGCATCGGGCTCCCTGCTCGGCAGGAACCCTGCTTCTCCCTCTCCCACTCCCCCTGCTGTGTTCCCTCTCTCCCTGTCTCTCTCTCTCTCTGTCAAATAAATAAATAAATAAATCTTTAAGAGATTATATAAAAATCTTTTCCCATGGGTTTCTTCTACTAGTTTTTTTACACAGTAAAAATATCAAGTGTATCCATTTTCCTGTTGATGAACGCTATTTTGTTTCCAAGTTTTTGTTATTGCTGCAGTGAAAACCTATGGGAGTCTTTATGTAGTTTGGTGGGTTTCACACCAGGGTACCGTGTCAGGTTGGTTTCTCCAGGAAATACATTTGGAGGGTTACTTGCAGGACACTCTGTGGGGAGTGCTCTTTGGAACAACAGCTGTAGGGAATTGGAAGGAGGCGGGATGGGGTAGAGAGAGAAGCTAAACTACGATGTAGTTGCAGCAGAAGCCTTGACTCTGGGGCTGGGGTGATCCTTCAAGCGGTCCCAAACTGGAGCAGGGTGGCTTGGCCTCATACCCCAGTGTTGGCTATAGGCTGCCCCTGGGAGGTGAGGTTATCCTGGGAAAGGCAGCTGCCTTCAGCAAGAGCACTTCCCTGAGAGGAAGTCAGCTGGGCACCCTGCAGCCATGGAAACTAAGGGCTACCTTCCCAGGGGGTGGAACATCCCTGACGCCCCCACAGCCCACGGGCACATTTAAGCTTTAGTAGGTTTTGCTAAGCCGTTTTTCAAGTGGATCATACCAACTTCTACTCCCTTCTCAGTGTGTAAGAATTTGTACTGCTGTTCTTCCTGTCGACCTCTTCCGTTTTGGTTTGCCTCTACTATTTTCTGGATAATTTCAGTAGGTCTTTCCTGAGGTGCAAAAATGACCTCTTTGGTGGTATCTAACCTGCTTCTTCTTCTTTTTAAAGATTTTATTTATTTATTTGGGAGAGAGAGAGAGCATGAGAGAACACAAGCAGGGGGGAGTGGGAGAGGGAGAAGCAGGCTTCCTGCTGAGCAGGGAGCCCCATGCAGGGCTCGATCCCAGGACCTCTGGGATCATGACCTGAGCCGAAGGCAGACGCTTAATAACTGAGCCACCCAGGTGCCCCTCTAACCTGCTTTTTAGATCGTTGGGTTTTTTTCTTTTTTCTGGAAGTTCTAGGTATTATTTTTTTAAGATTTTATTTATTTGATTGAGAGAGAGAATGAGAAGTGGGGAGGAGCGGAGGGAGAGGGAGAAGCAGACTCCCCGCTGAGGAGGGAGCCCCACACAGGGCTCGATCCCAGGACCCTGGGATCATGACCTGAGCTGAAGGCAGACACTTAACCAACTGAGCCACCCAGGTGCCCCTGGAAGTTCCAGGTATTTCTTTTAAAATGTTTTTTTCCCTTAAAAAACAAATTTCTCCTATGGTTTTTATTTTTCTCTTTGTATTTTTTAATAAATGTTTTTTTTTTTTTAAGATTTAAAATTTTTTTAAGGTAATCTCTACCCCCAGTGTAAAGGCTCGAACTCATGACCCCGAGATTAAGAGTCACATGTTCTACTGACCGAGCCAGCCAGGCACCCATATTTATTTCCTATAATATATCCAAGTTATATTTTTTGATGTCCCCAGGGGCTCTAATTTCACTGGTTGTTATGGCTATTTGTTTTCATGCAGGATTTTCATTTTTTTTTTTAATTTTGTGGGAATTCTGTACTTCCTGCCTGTACATGTCATCCAGAGAGGTTCTGCATCTGCTTCTTCCGGGCTCCCCAGGGATATTACCAGCCTGAGACCCTGTTTCTTTCTTTTTTAAAGTAGGCTCCACTCTCAATGTGGGGTTTGAACTCATAACCCTGAAATCAAGAGTCGCATGCTCCACCCATTGAGCCAGCCAGGCATGCCCCATCTTTCTTTCTTATTGAAATAAACGTATTGCATTAGTTTTTTTTTTTTTTTAAGGATTTTATTTATTTATTTGACAGGGAGAGAGTAAGAGAGCACAAGCTGGGGGAACGGCAGGCAGAGGGAGAGGGAGAAGCAGACTCCCTGCTGCGCACGGAGCCCGACGCGGGGCTCGGTCCTAGGACCCTGGGATCATGACCTGAGCCGAAGGCAGACACTTAACCAACCGAGCCACCCAGGTGCCCCTTTTTGCTGAAGTTTTAAAGAACTATTACAGGGTGCCTGGGCGGCTCAGTTGTTAAGCGTCTGCCTTCGGCTCAGGTCGTGATCCCAGGGTCCTGGGATGGAGTCCCACATCAGGCTCCCTGCTCAGCAGGAGACCTGCTTCTCCCTCCCCCACTCCCCCTGCTTGTGTTCCTGCTCTCACTGTGTCTCTCTCTGTCAAATAAATAAATAAAATCTTAAAAAAAAAAAAAACTGTTACAAAGATAGTAGCTTCTAATTCTCTTAAGGTTGCCTTCTTCTCTTTCAGTCTACTTGATTCATTTGTCCTGAGTATCATTAAAAAGAGATCGACTTGCTCCCCAAGTTTTGCTCTGGGGTAAAAAGCAGAAGTCCTAAAGCCCCGGATCAATATGTCTCTTCCCAGCTGAGTGACCCCAGGCACACTTGCTAAGCTCTCTCATTGTGCGTCCTCACCTGTAAAGGGCAGGTGATAGTTATTTACCTGTAGGGTAGTGGTGAGAATTAAGAGATGACGTATGTAGAACGCCTGACACGAACTAGGAGCTTAATAAAGAGTATCAGTTAGTGATACTAACAATAAGTTGCCAGAACGAAGTGATGCTATCTCTTTGCAGCCCCGGAAGCCAGGTAACAACAGAAAACTTGCACCGAGACATAGCTTCTCCCTCAACTGAGTGCGATCTAGTTATTTGGTATCCTGTACTTACCTCTTTAGTGCTGGGAAGAGGACTGGCCGTTAACTACTGAGCCAGTCTTCAACTTGACCTGAGCAAAATCAAGCAAGCAAACCAGAAGATTCCATCGTAAGCAAGGCTATCAATTTCAGAGATGCCCCTGTTCCAAGCATTCCTCTTCCTCCTCCTCAGGTCCTCCTGTTCCCCTGAGACTGTCCCTCTCCTGGCTGAGATGAACCCTATGGGACTTGACAGAGTTCAGATCGCTCCAGCCAGCAACAGAGAAAACAAGGAGGCAAGTGTCAGACTTGAAAGGAACTCTGAGGGCGCTTCTGGCGGGAGTGGCTGAGTTGGGTGGAGCTCCAGGCTTCCTGCTCAGGGCATGAAGTCCCGGGGGCAGAGCAGCGGCCGTAACGGCTGGCACCCTGGCAGCCCTTGGTGTCGTGAGCGTGGACTCTGGTCCTGCAGTCACCTCGGCGGGCAGCTCCGGGCTCCTGGTTTCTGCAGTGTCCGTGGGGATTCTAGCGATGCTGGCCACTAGATGATCCCATTTCCCACACAGCCCCGGGGCTGACAGTGTCTGCCCAGTTACTAACGGATGGCCTCAATTTCCCCCCTTTTGATCTTTCACTCCTTTTGATAGTTTGCTCACAATTCCCCACTCTGGAATGTTTTGGGGTGTCTGTTTTCCTGGCTAGACAAGCACCGAAGTCTGCCCTGAACTTGCCTCACTGCAGTAGAGCCCACGGGCTGAGGAGGGCCCGGCTCTCTGTGAAGGTGGCACCCCGGGAAGTAAAGGAGGGAACTAGGGTGCTGGCTGAGGAAAGCCCCGGTCTCTTGTGTAGGTGATGTCTCCTCCAGGGCCCTTTGGAGCCCCTCCCAGGTCCTCCTCACGCCAACGGGTTTGGTACCACGGCACCAAAGTCCCCCACCTTTGCTGACCAATGAGTGGAGAGCAAAGCAGGTGATGGGGAAAGGTGGATCAGCTCTCCTGGCCTGCACCCCAAAGTCTCATTTGCCCAGCCCTGTTTCCCCCTTTGCGCACTGGATGGGGGGGGGAGGAGTCCGATCAGCCCCCAGGAAAAACCTGTAAAAAACGGAGTCAGCCTACATCAACTCTTAAATATTTAATTCCCATTTATTTAAAGTTCTGTCAGTCTGTGTACACTATTTATATTAAAAACACAGGAAGCTGGGGATCCTAGCAAAAATATACATTTCGATTTTGGAGATTGTGTTCAGACACTAAGAGCTATATCCTCAGCACCAGGCCTGGGCGGGGGCGGGGGGGTGCGTGGTGGCGGAGAGGGGGTGGGGGTCAGGCACAGCATCTCTCCCTTCACAGCGCTGGCTCAAAGGGAGCACCCTAACCCCAATCCTTGGTCAGCTGGGGGTGGTGGTGGGAGAGGGAAGAATCTTGTCAGTAGAGAATGATCCTAGGGCATGGAAGGCAGGGGCAGATGGACGGGACTCCAACCTCAGGTCTTCCCCAACCTTTCTCAGAGACCCTCACCAGTCCCTCACCCTTCCAGGCCAGTTTCCTTCCTGGTGAAGCAGGCTGGGTGGGCTCTCTGACTTTCTGCTCAGACACAGCATCCAAGCTGGGCTTCAGTCCCTCCTCTGAGGCCGAATACTTCACCTGGGAGGAGGGGAACGGTAGATGCAAGGGCCAGAGGAGTGGGACTGGGCCTGGCAAGGTCCTTGGTCACCAGAGGCTGTGTAGGGGGAGTTCCCGGTGACTGGCTGGGCTGAATACAGGGGAAGGGGAGAGCAGCAGAACTGTTGGGACAAATGGATGTCACACTGAGCGGGATCAGTTTATCCCTTGCACCTCCCCCATGAGCGGGTGCTGGGCTGGTTCAGCAGGGCACCCCTGCCTACCAAGGGATCTGAGAACGAGGGCACAGCTGTGCCCGCTCACCTGGAGGCCCCTCTGGCCCATCTGCCTCGGGGAAGGGAGGGTGAGGGGTGTGGAACCAGGTAAAGTGATTCAGTGCTTGTGTGTGCTGGAGTGTTGCGGGGGGGGGGGGGGGCGTGCATGAGCTTCCTCTGGGCTCCTGGTTGAGGCTGAGGCCAGGAACTCCTGAGAAACAGGAGTCGTGGGTGGTGGCTGCTGCAAAGTGGTGGGAGAGGGGCCGCCCATGACCCCAAGGCCTGGGCTCAGAATTAAGTACACCGCTTGCTGCCTTTTCTGCCAACCTCTGCCTCCCTCGAGGCTTGCTCCTCTTCAGTGGGGGCCCCCACCTGAAGGGAAGCCCATCTCCTTCCAGGCTAGGGGTGTCCCCTGGCGGCCAGCGCAGGGGACCAGCAGTGACACTGGCCTGGAAGACTGGTGAAAAGAACAGAGAGGGCGCTGGTAACAGTGGGGCTGGGGCGTGCTGCTAGAGAGGGGTTGGCTGGGTAGGGGGAGGGGGTGACAGTCTGGGGGAGGCGTCCTGGCCCTCAGGGCAGGGCCCCCATGACTCGGGGGCCATTGCTGCAGTCAGCCTGGGCCCCGGTGGCTTCCCCAGGAAGCTGGGCCCAGAGAGCTTAGTGTTTCTTTGGCTGGCCCATGTCCTTTGCTGTGAAGACAGAAGTGAGGCGCCTACCCTGGCAGGTGACTGTTGGTGCAGAGGGCAGGCCCATTCCTTCCTGCTCCTGGGGGACAGGGGACGGGGCAGACGAAAGCAGAGGACATGTTCCATGCTGCTGGTGAAGTAACACAAACTGTCTCACAGAAAGAGAAAGGGGGGCAGACACAGGGATGGGGAGAGAGAAAGGGAAGGCCAGGGAGGAAGGAAGAGGGGAAACCTACAGAGAGACAGGAAGAGAGAGCGAGTGAGCGAAGAAATTAGAGAAGAAAGAGGATCTGAGAAAGAGGCAGATGAAGACGGGGAGGGAGCGAACGCAGGGAGCAAGGAGCCGTGTGTCTGAGCGCGGCAGTGTGGCTCCACTGCTCCGGGCCCGTGGGCGCCCAGGGCTCGGGGACTGCTCTCCGGGTAAGTCCCGAGGGCGGCGTCTGCCCCAGCTCTGTCCGCCTGCCCCCAGAGACCCCGGGCGCATGCCCTCAGTACATGTCCTTGTAGATCTCCTGGAGCAGGGGGTGCAGCGAGGTCTCTGTCTCGGTCTTCTTGATGCGCTGCATCATCTGCGCGTGCTCGGTGACCAGCTGCCGCAGGTCAGCCATTTTCTGCAGCAGCTTGGGGAAGAGGTACTGGGCGTACGGGTGGTTGGCCTGCAGGTGGAACTCGAGGGCACGCAGGATGGTGTCCTGGATGGCCTCCACCTGGGGCACGTTTATGAGGCCTGGCCGGTCTGTGGGGACACAGGGCAGAGGTGTGGGAGGGAGCAGGCATGCATGGAAGTCTCCGGGGGGTGGGGGTGGGCAGAGGAGCTCCCCTACCTCTACCCGCGTGGGTGACTTGGCCCAGGGGACAGCAGACCTACTGCTGTGACAGACCCAAGCCCTGTTCTGTCAGTGACTGTTCTACTATTCTAGCCCCTCCACCCCCCAGGTCCTGGCCCATCTCCTTCACTTTTTTGTTTTTTTTTCTTCTGAAAAAGGCAGTATGACCTCATGGTTAAGAGACTCACTGCCTGGATTCAACTCCCGTCCCTACCACAGGCTGGCGAGGAGGCTCTGGGCGGGCCACTCGCAGCCTCTCTGACTTCAGTTCTGTCATCTGTAAAACGGGGTGACAGAGGTACCCTCCACACAGGCTGCTGCGAGGATCAAATGAGTTATAATCTAGGAAAAGGAACCAGAACAGTGCCTGGCACGAAGTAAGCTCTATGGTACTGTGAGCACGATGATTATTCTAGTTATTGCACCGGAATCTGAAAAATGCAGGCAAAATACGGAGAATTTCTCCACCGTCAGAAATCATCCCCATCAACATACTGGCATATTTCTTTGCAGACTTTTTTCTGTCTCCTCTCCATCGAGAAGAGGGAGCCAGTCCTGCACGTAGTCGGAGCCTCGCGTGTCACACTGCTGTCATCACAGGGCACCTCCCCACGCTGTGCGCGCTTGGGCCTGGTGCCCTGCGGTGGGGGCCCAACCCCCAGTAGGGCTGCCCCACCCTCACTTACCTCCACAGAGAATGATGGCCGCAATGAAGAGAGCCAAGTCACTGTCATCAAGTTCCAGGGCGTTGAACTTGACCGCAAACTCAAACTTGGGCTCGATGATGTCACTGAAGGGCTTCCGGAGGCTCCGCAGGAACTCCCGGGTGACGAACCCAGTGCCGTTGGCCACCAGTAAGCCGTCCTTGTTGACGATGGAGGCCAGCATAGCGAATATGGCCTCATGCACACCGTACTTGAGAAGGGTCACCTGGTCGTTAAGGAAGAGGGTGCTGAAGCTGGGGATGCTCTTGGCGAACTCGGTGAGCTCCCGCACGGTCTCGACCGTGGTGCACTGGCAGCGGTAGAAGACATGCACGCTGATCTCCTTGTAGGGGGGCAGGCCGTTCACCAGCTGCTTCCACACCAGGCCCTTCTCTGCTTGCCACAATGTCTCGATGTCATGGATCACAAAGGGCTGAAAACCAGGCCCCGTTAGAGGCCAGGCCTTGGGGGGACCCCCGCCCATGTGCTCCCCATGCCCCCAGCCTGTACCACGAAGTGAGGGGAGGCAGGAGGCCCGGTTCTCCCAGCAGTCAGGCAGGCGGTGGCAAGGCCCAGAGCCCGGGGCTGCCAGGCCAAGCAGTGACACTCACCGCCGTGTGGCTGGCCTTGCCGGTGAGGATGCCACGGGCCTTCTTTTTGGTCATGTTGAAGTTTTTCAGGTAGGCGTTGTAGATGTGCTTGGAGAAGGCCTTCAGGTCAGCCACCTGTGGGTTGTGCTGATTCCCCTCGCTTGCCGTTAGCCCTGCCACCAGCTTCCTCTTCTCGGCCTCTGGCATCCGGCCAAAGCGGATGGCTGTATTGGGGGGTGGGGGGTGGGGGGGTCATCGAGGGGCCCAGGCAGGAGCTAGCACCTCTAACCTCCTTGCCTCACAACAGGTACGTGGGCCAAAAATGGAGACACGTTTTTTGAGCCCAGGACCCTCAGAAGCTCTATGGCCAGCACACTGGAATGCTGGAGAACCCCTCCAGAATGCAAGCGCCGGGGGACAGGGATTCTGTCTTGTTCACAGTGCCTCACATGCACACAAAGGCCCTAACTCAGGGAGTCAACTGAGCCACTGTGCCTGGAAGGCGGTGCAGTGTGACGCATAGGAAGACAGTTTCTGGTGTCAAAGGCCTGTGCCTGAGTTCCAGCTTGGCAGAAATAGGCAGGCTATTTCACCTTTATTCATAAGAAAAATGGGCTAATACTGAGATCTCACTGGACTGTCAAAAAATAAGAATATTCACACAGTAAGCACTAAAACGTTAGTCATTAGTAATGGAACAGGATAGAAATCTGGCTTCTCTAAGAGAAAAAGTGAGAAGAACTGAGTTGGCCCTGAGATCTCCTAGGAAATCCGCTCAGCCCACCCAAGGAACAGAGCCCGGGCAGATACAGACTGAAGGGTGGGACCAAACCCCAGACCTGCCAGGCCCCACCATCTAGGAAAATCTTCGGGTGGAGGGCTCGGGGCCCGCCACCATCTAAAAGGCAAGACAGGGTAGCTGTGAGTGTAGACATTTAAACAAGAGGCTCTCCCCAGTCCTCTGGGGGTGCACAGGGGTGGGGGTCTGACCCAGACAGGCAAAGGGGGCAGGTGGGCTCTGCAAAATCCTACTGTATGGGGTCTGAAGACAAGACTCTGTAGAAGGCCCGAATGCGGGGCAGGATCTGTCTCCCGGGAGAGGCCGGCCTCCAGGAAACTCCTGCCTGGCTCCCGGCAGCGGACCCATGTGGTCACTCCCTGGCTCCTGCCGGCCTTCACTAACCAAGGAGAGCTGAGGCGATCCCCGGCTTGGGCAGTGGCTTTTTACGCTGTGTCGGGTCATCTGAGCCAGGCTTGAGGTGCTGGGGTCAATTCCCAGTTTCCCTCTGGGCCAGCGGGGGTGAGCGCCCCAGGCGCGGGCCTCACAGCGGACGCGGAGCCGGAGCCGTCTGGGGAAGGCAGGTCTTCGCCGGCTGCTGCGTCAAGCCGCACCTGCTGCGCACCGGGCACCGCTCCGAGGGGCTCCCCTCCACCCCCCTGCCCCGCCCCCCAGGCTGTGCCAGGCCCGGGGTGGCTCTCACCGTTGTGCGACATGCCGAGCGCCACGCATTTCTGGAAGCGGCAGTACTGGCACTTGTTGCGGTTCTTCTTCTGGATCTTGCAGATGCGCTCACACTTCTCATACTCCAGCTTCATGCGGATCGTCCGGCGGAAGAAGCCCTGAGGGGCGGGTGAGAGGTGAGGCAGAGCCACAGGAAGCTCAGGATCCTGCTCTGCCCCGTGGGTTCTGTGACATCAGGAGCCCCAGTTTTTTTTTTTTTTTAAGATTTTATTTATTTATTTGATAGAGACACAGCGAGAGAAGGAACCCAAGCAGGGGGAGTGGGAGAGCGAGAAGCAGGCTTCCCGCTGAGCAGGGGGCCCGATGCGGGGCTCGATCCCAGGACCCCGGGATCATGACCTGAGCTGAAAGCAGATGCTTAATGACTGAGCCACCCAGGCGCCCCAGGGGCCCCAGTTCTGTGTGTAAATGTCAACCTTTGTGAAATTTGGAAGTAACTGGGAGAAATTTCTTTTGGAGGGGAGGGAGGAGGGTAGTAAACAACTCTAAAGCCTTTGAGATCTATCTATATTTCTTTATTTTAAATGCTTCCTTGTGAGTTTGGTCACCTAAAACTGTATTGTGGGTAATCTGGTTTATTCATAAAGGTATCTGGTTCTGGGTATTTTCTAGGCGGTGGTGTAGTAAAATACTAAGTACAATTTTGATCGGCGTGCAGGTAGGAGGATGAACCAAAAGCACCCCTGGAGAAAGAAATGTAAAGTTTCCTTTTTTCCCTCAAAGAGGCCCTTCCGGGCCTTGAAGTGCAGGAAACACTGCCATCAGGGTGATGGTTGAGCCCAAGATCCTCATTCTGCCCAGCCGGTGTTCTAGAGCTACGTCCCCAGGGGGCGCCAGCAGCCAGCCAGGCCACATGAGAGGCTGGGACCAGCAGGACCCAGGGCGGAGGACCTGGAATGGGCCCAAGGGCCTGGCGGCCTCCCAGGTGGGAATTCCGCAGTAGGGACTGTGAGGGCCCGGCCTCTCTGGCAGGTCAGCTCTCCGTGTAAACACAGCCCCAGCCGCCAGCCACCACTCGCCGCAGGCCCTACCTTGCAGCCCTCACACGCGTGAACACCATAGTGGAAGCCTGATGCCTTGTCCCCGCACACACGGCACTCCATGTTGAGGCTGCCACACGAGGCCCCGTCACAGCCCATCTGCAACTGGTCCAGCAGTGAGGGTGGCGAGGAGCTCCGGGAGAGGTCTGCGGACACACGACATAGGGGTGCCTTCATATTCGGCCAGGACGGGGGCCAGGGGAGGTGACCAGAGCCCACAGGGGGCAGGGCAGGTGATGGGAAGAGCCCATGTTTCTCAAGCAGCGCTCACTCAGCTCAGACACTTAACAGCTATGTGACTCAAGGAGTCAACCTTTCTGAGGGTCGGTTTCTTCATCTAGACCATGGGGCTTTTCCTCAGACCTGACATACAGCAGGTGTTTGGGAAATGGCAGCTATCACTATCGGGGCCTTCCTGGGCTGTACTCACCACTGGGGAGGAGGAGGGGTGTGTGTGTGTGTGTGTGTGTGTGTGTGTGTGTGTGTGTGTGTGTGTGTGTGTGTGTGTGTGTGTGTGTTGGGGGGGTGATTGTGTTTTGGTGGGTGTGGGTGTGTGTCTTGGGGGGATGATTGTGTTTTGGAGGGAAGGGAGCAAGAGGAGGAAGATAGAATCTCTTCAGACTGAACTTGGGAAGTAGCTCTCCTAGCTTAAGGGGCTCCACTGTGTGGGCCCATGTAGGGTTGTATGAAATGAGTGTTAGGGAGACTGCGGCCTTCCACCCACATCTCCTGGGAAATTCGATTCTTGTGTGGACTCCAGAGATGGTGTAAAGGATCTATCAAGAAGCTCAAACCCATTCTTACAAAACTTCTTGCTCAAGTAGAAAGAAGGCAGGTACCATTCATGCTCACTGGACAACATACTGAATTTCCCCAGGTTTTTTTTTTTCTATTAAGTGTACGAGATGTTTGAACCAGATGTTGTGAGTATAAGCAAGGAAAGCACTAGACTAAGGCAATGACTTCAGGGTGTATGTGCTGTCAGCTGACTCGGTAAGAATTTCTGGGAGTCTCTTTGGAATCTCTCCCTTGGACACTCAGCCATGAGCCCGGCCCTGAGCCTCAGTCGCCCGGCCCAGGGCCAGCTGCATGACCCCACATGCCGCCTGTCCTGCCAATCTGCTGTTCTCTGCTCTCTTTCCTGATGACTGAGCAACCTCCTCAGGGGCAGGGGCCAAATCCCCAGACCAGAGAGTCAGTGGCTCAGAGCAGGATGGCACCTTAGGGAGACCCAAGCCGTGAAGCTGAACGCAGACTTAACATTTCCCAGGCTGGTGTTGCTCCTTGTCTGTCACCCAAATATAGGTCACTCCACAAAATATCTTCATTTCCCTCCCACGGAGTAACCCACCCTCCCTAGACCAAAGTGTACTCTACTCTTCTCATACCTTTCTCCACTCCCCCTTGGGCCCTAGGAGTGACAGCAGGAAAGCCTTCAGCCAGACCCTACCTGGGCCACAGGGAGGGGAGCATGAGCACCAGACCAGACCACAGAATAGAGGATCGGACAGCCCACTGCCCTGCTGGGCTGGTAAGGGCAGGGGTGTGAGGTAAAAGAGCCCATCCCGTCCCAGGGCCTTCGCTCCCAACCTTTGGTCATTCCAGGGGATGTAACCACCCGCCTCAGCCCACAGATGGGGGAGAGTGGGCTCCCTCCGTCTCCTGGGCACAGTGCTGCAGGGGAGCCTGCAGCCTGGGAGGGCAGAACCACTGTGGTTTTCTCCATAGCCTTTGCCACCACATGACAGTCCGTGTGTGTTCACTCAGTGTTGGGTGCCCTCTACCACAACGTAAAGGCCACGGGGCAGGAACTCTGCCCCCAGGGTGCTGCTGTGGGATGGGGAGCAGGCAGTGACTGTGGGGTAAGTAAGTGGAACTCAAGCTCCCTGGGTTGGTCCTGCACTCAGCGCCAACCGGCTGCAGGGTTTGGGCAGTCTCCGCCATGCCTGGAGGCCTCAGAATAGGGGCAAAAGAACTCACATTATGAGCTGTCGGGAGAAAATGAGATCACGTGTGAAAACCCTTTGTCGGGACCTGTGTGGAGGCTGAGCAGGCGGGTTCCGGCCCTCCCTGCTCTGATCTGTGTGGTCTGTGTGCATGTTCGCTTTGTGTCACTTCGTGTAAGCAGTTGTGTTTTTGTGGCTTACACATCTGCCTCCTCTGCTAGACGTGGGACATCTCTAATCACACCGCCTTTGGATCTCTAAGCTCACCTCCACCACCGAGTCTTGTCCACAGCCACCAACCTTTTGGTGGTGCCCTCTGTGTTCTCCCTCCTGGCCCTGGAGGCCGGGCAGGGGTCTGGGCACTTGCACTGCACGTGGCAATGCCACCCTCTCTTTTCATTCAGCGGACATTTGGTGAGCGCCTGCTGTGTGCACGGCAGGACCCACACCCTGCCCTCGACTAGCTGAGGTGAGAATGAGGTAAGAAAGCGGGAATACGACACAGCGAGTGGCAACACTGGCTGAGGGGCGGGCAGAGGGAGCAGGACTTGGAAGGCGCCACCACCGAGCCTGAGGCTCTCAGGGAAGGTGACTGCTCCCCTCTTGGGGCTCAAAGATGAGATCTTTGGGAGACTCCAAGTCAGCTTCCAGATGCTTGGGAAGAGCAGGCATGAGGGTGAAGAATGGGACTGAGTTCAAATTGGTGTCTTAGGCTCAACACCCAGCTCTGCCCTCTGGGCCTCAGTTTCCTCCTCTGTAAGATGGAGGGGACAGGAGTATCTATCTGAGAGTCATGGTGAAAAGTAACAGAGTTACTACAGAGAAGAGCCCTCGGACCTGGAAGTTCACATCAACATCGGGGTGAGTTAGGATGGTGCTTATCAGAAAGCTGCAATTCTGCACTCCCCAAGCTCTGTACCCTGCACAGGCAGGGGCCGAGACCTGTCCTCCTTCTGGCTGGCTGTACCTCTTCCCCCGCAGCTTCACGGAAATCCAAGGTGGGGGGTGTCTCTGCTTATTGAGGCCCGGAGAGCCCCCAGGACCAGACCAAGCCTCCTTTCACTTCCCCTGGCCTGCCACTGACCCGTGGCTCAGGAGCATGAGGATCACTGGGAACCCTGGGAGAAGCCAAGATGCTCCGGCCCCACCAGCCCGAGGCGGCCTGAGCTCTGGATCCCGAGGAGACACCCCGGGCAAGTGTCTCAGAGGGAAGTGCTGCAAATGGGACTGTGGAGAAACAGGCCCAGGGCACTATCAGGGCGCTGGGCCGTGGCTGTTCCACCCCTGGGTCGTGAGCAGACACAGGCTGCAGAACCTCAAAGCAGTTGGCGATGCTTGGTGGTGGCTGGCTAGTGGAACAAGGGCATCCCCTGCCCGTTTGGAATAAAAGAACAAAAATAACTGCCAGGCGGAGAGGCAGGGGCGATGAGGCGCTAGGATGGGCAGAAGTGTATGCATCCCCCCGCAGGGGAAGGTTTTGTGCTGGAGTGCATGTGCAGTGGGGATACTGAAGTGGTAGGGGCTTGGGAGTGGGTTTTCTTTCCTTTTTAAAAAAATTTTTTTAAAGATTTAATCTATTTGACAGAGAGAGAGAGAGCACATGTGCACCAGAGGCAGAGGGAGAAGCAAGCTGCCCACTGAGCAGGCAGCCCGACATGGGGCTTGATCCCCGGACCCTGGCATCACGAGCTGAGCCGAAGGCAGACGCTTAACTGACTGAGCCACCCACGTGCCCTGGGAGTGGGTTTTCTAAAGATAAAGGTTCTGTTTCTTCCTGGCTGATCACCTGGCTTAGGGTTTTATCCTTGAATCTTGCCCAAAAGTAATGATGGCAGAATGCTCCCCATTCTAGGGGCCAGCTTCTGAAGGTCCCACTGCCTTGCCCATGACCTCCCGGTGGGAGACTGGGGTTCTGAGAGGCTGTCCCTCTGACCGGGAGTCCCTGCCCCTCAGGTATGCTGGCCGGGGACATGGGCCACACCAGCCTCAGGGCCGTCTGCCTGCACAGCGGCTCTCCCCAGCCAGCCCAGCATTGTCCTCCCCTGGCTCCTCCTCAGCTCTCAGGAAATATCCTTGCTCACCCGATGGCAGCATCCGGGCCCTGCCCTGCCTCTGAACTTCCACTCCAGACACACCCCGCCTGACCCCCCAAGCATCTCATGAAGGCCCACCTCTCCTTCTACCCCAGGAAGGGAGGGGGAAAGAACCAGCATTTATCGCCCGCCCCCCAAAAGCTTGTTAGTATCATTCCATATCACCTTGGAAGATAGTAACTGACACCATTTAAAGTCGAAGAAACTGAAACTTGGTGAGGTTAAGGGGCCTGCCCAAGGTCACCTGTCTAATACCTGGTGGGACTGGGCCTTGAACCTAAACCTGACTTCCCTGTAAAGAGTGCATGTCTATACTAATAATCTCTTTTTTGTGCATGCCTCCTGTGTACCAGGCGCTCTGCTTGACACTTTATACCATTAATCCCATGGGAACCTTAAAATAACCCTTCAAACCCCAGGTCTTCTGACGCTTTGATAGGTGAGGTTAAGTAACATGCTGACAGTGGCATTAACCAGATCATTAATTTTATGTGTCACCTTGGCCAGGCCATGGTACTCATGGTGATCAGTTTTTGGTCAAACACCAGTCTAGATGTTGCTGTGAAGATATTTTTTAGATGGGATTAACATTGAAATCATTGCTCTCCATAATGTGAGTAGGCCTCAGCCAATCAGTTGAAGGCCTTATGGAAAAAGACCGAGGCCTCCCTAAGGAAGATCCAGGAATTCTGTCTCTGGATTGCCTTCAAACTTAAGATACAGCATCAAGTACCCTGGGTCTCCGGTCTGCTGGCCTGTCCTGCAGAATTCAACTTGCTAGCTCTCACAGTTGTGTGAACCAATTCCTTACCTGTGCACACGTGTGCGTGCGCGCACACACACACACACACACACTCTCTCTCTCTCTCTCTCTCTCTCTCCCCCTCCCTATGTATGCACACATCCTATGGATTCTGTTTCTCTAGAGAACCCTAATACAATAACAGAGTTCAGAATCAAAACCTAGAACCACCTAACCCCCGGGGCTGAGCTCTTACTATTCATTAGTACTAATCAATAATTCATGATCATGATAACCGATCAGACATGTCACTGCTGAGGAGGACACCATGCCATTATTCAAATGTTTAGGCTCAGCGTAAACACTAAGCCCAACACCCAGGGAGTGAACTATCAGTTGCACCATCTTGGATTACAAGTTCAGCAAATAGACACTATTGACCTTACTCACATCATTTACGTATGGATGAGAGTTCTCTTGCATACCTAGTCTCTACTGCTGGAGGTATGCTGCTGTCATAGCTGTGAGAGTGGCCAGGAGGGGTCAACACTATTTACTTTGCTGGCAGAGTCCCACAGGCAAATAGCTTCTGAAGTCAGGGCCAATTCTGTGGGACTCTGGAGCTGGGTTACTAAGCAGCCTCCTTAAATTCTGTCGTCCTGTTCACCTGCACAGTGGGCTTCTCAGGGCTGGCGTGCAGCCTTGTCCTCAACTGAAAGGCCAGCCCTTGCCTGGACACCCACTGAGTGCTTGCGGCGAGAAGAGGTGCCAAGGCCAGGAGGAAGGACACTTGATCTTCCTCAGCCCCAGTCCGCACCAAGACCCCTGACCTCTTCCTAGGGTGTGGATGTGATGCCCATCACTGAAGTAGGAGGGGACAGCTGCCCCCACCCCTATCCAGCTCAGGGACCCTGGGCGTGTGAGTTGCCTTGCTGCTGAGTGCTAACGGGGAGATCTGTCTCGCCTGCCTCTTTGTCAGGTGTTGAGCTCGGGACAGAGATGCAGAACCTCTGAGGGGTCAGAAGGGAAGCAAACTGTGGGTCTTCTTGCTGTTTCAAGGCTCTAGGCTGTGTCCCATCCTCCTCAATTCCTGAGGGGACTCGAGGCCAAAGTCATAGACTCATGGGGCAGGGCAGAGAACCTTACCCGGCCAGCCCTTGAGGTGGGCAGACTTTAAAGGTAGAGACTGAGAATGGAGAAGTGAAGTCACCAGCAAAAGCCATGGCTGACAGTCACAGACCTGAGATTCCTGCCCTGGTTTGTGTGATTCCCAACACAGGACGAAGCTCTGTCTCCAGGGCCCCTCACCTGTTGGCCTTTTTTGGGAAACAAAATTGCTTTACCTTTTTAAAGAAAAGCCATGCGTTTGCTTCTTAAACGGTGAGAGTACTGTAGACTTGAGAATAATGCGTAATGGTGCGCACCACTGTATGACGCATCCTCTCCGCCATGATCCTAGTCCCGAGTTGACGGCACAGTCCTTTGCGTGTATGCTCTTCTAGTGCCTTCCATGATACTTAAAGATTTTTAAGCAGTGGGATCCCCCATTTGGCAGGAGCTCTTTTTCCTGTCAGTAGATTCAGACCCACCCTATACTTGTTAACGGCTACAACAGCATTCCACAGTGTGGCTCTACCACAGTTTACATAACCAATTCCCCACAGATGGTCGCGTGCCAATTTTTTGCTTCTCTGAGCAGTGCTGCAGTAAATAAGTGTGGAAATCTCTGTGCACTCTGCGCGAGTACTTCCATGGGATACATTCCTAGGAGGGGAACTGCAGGGTCAAAGGAATGAAAGAAGTGTTCTCCTGCATAGCCAAGTTGCCCTTCCACCCTTGGTGGCTGGAGGGCCCTTAATCTGACATGCTAAATGACATCTCATTTTGAAGATATCTTCTTTGATTGGTGAGTAGACTGAAAACATTTTGTTTTCCGGCCATTTGTATTTGTCCAACCATGAACTGCCTGTTTCTATTTTTCTGTTGTTTGTCTTATAGAATTTGCGGGAGCTTTTTCTATACAATGGCTTTAACACATTAATGATTATATTAAAAAACCTCCTCCTGTTTTAATTATTGAACAGGGAAGTCTGTGGGGTGGGCCTACTCCTCTGCCCTCAATCACCACCCGTGAGCGGGATCTCCTTCAGCTGAAGCCAGCGGTGAGATCAGGATGTCCCTTGCTAGAAGTGCACCCTCTCGTGACCCTGAGTTCCCTCTGAGGGTAAGGGAGCAAGACTCAGCTGTATGTGCTGGCACTTAGGTGGAGGGAGAAGGAGAGAAGCTGGGGGGAGAAGGGGCCAGGGACAGGGAAGGGGCAGCATCAGCAGCAGGGAAAACCAGGGGCCAAGGAGTGGATTCTGGGTGCCCCTGAAGGTGGACATAGCATGACGATGATGAAGAAGATGGGGCGAGAGTAACACAGGGCTCCAGAGAAGAATGTCTACACTGCTACTAACAATGGATAAACAAAAGGGGAACTGACAAGGGAGATGAGAGCAGCGAAAACTGGCTGGCTGCACAAAAGTCACTTTAATTATAGTCATTCAGACTAGCCGCTTAGCATTTATGCCTAATTACAGTGCCGCTCAATGATGTGTGTCATTAGCACCAGATCAATGCAGCTGGGTGTCGTGACTGATCGTTACAATCACAGGTACAGCTGATCTTTCCCGTGTGCTGTTAATGCAGCTTGGCTCTGGATCCCTTGGGCAGCAGCAGTGGGAATCAAGCGGATGACGACACGCATTACAAATGCTAACTCATTTAATTCTCACAAAAGCCCCTGTCCACATCCCCTGCAGGCCCCATGGTTTTCACAGAAAGAAGAAGTGCAACTGGCCCGAGGTCCTGCAGCTGAAGGGCAATAGAACAGGGGTGTGAACCCCAGCTGTCTGGCTCTGCCCCTCTGTGCCCCATAATGCTGTCTGCAGAGGGCAGGGTTCCTGCTCGGCCCACTTGGCTTCCTCTGCCCTGTGTCCCCCGCCACCCCCTCCTCACCTGTATAGCTGCTGGAAGGAAGTGAGCGCTCTGGTCCTCCATTGAGTTCTGGGGCTCCTTCTGCCTCTGCCACTTCCTTTTTCTCCTCCTCTTCCCGGACCTCAGGGGCTTCCCCCGGTGGCTGCTCCATGGCTGACATCCCCTCGGCACCACGCCTGCAGGCCCGGTCATAGCTCTGGCATCATCTGGGTCTGAACGCAGACGGACCTCTACAGGGCAGCTGCCATCAGCCTGGGCCAAGGGGCAGACAGGGAGAGGATGAGAGGGTGTGAGAAGGGCATGCGAGAGGGCTACCACCGGGCGGGGGTGGGGCAGTAGGGAGGGGGCTCCCCTGCTCCTGCTCCTTCACAGCAGGCACGCCGCCTCCCTGTAGTGCTAACCCATGGGCTCTGCTCCTTGCACCCCGAGTCATTTCCCCTTCTGCCCTTTGTCTGCTTGGTTCCTGAGGCAGGTCTGTGGGGTTCTGAGCAGTCTCCACAAACCAGACAGGGTGACACACCCCTGGCACCACCTTTCCCTGCCTCCTCGGCCCCATCCTGCTCTTGGCACCACATCAGAATGACTTCAGGGGCTTCTTCCAACTCTGCGGTCCTTCTGGAGGTCCTGATATGCACAGTACTTCCTAACTCCCGCCCTGTCCCCTCCAGCACTCAGGCTCTCCTACACCGCAATTCTTGAAGGGAGTAGGTCCTATCCTTCCTGTGTTTGGGTGTGTGGGGGGGGAAAAGACCGGAGCTCCTGCGGTGCTAGGCTCACAGTTGGCAGCAGATCTGCAACTGGACCCTCAGCAGCACAGCCATCAGGTAAGGAGAGAAGTGCTCTGTCCAGGAAACTTTCCGAGGTGGGGTTACTGGGTAGTGACTCCTGTGTGGAGAAGGCAGTTCCAACCCTCGGCAAGTGACATATTGCCCGCAGATGCCACCGTTAGTGGCAGTAAGACCATGAGGTGTTGTGGGGGAGTCGTCCTGGCAGGGAACAGTAGGGAGACCCCTTGAGAGTGGGGTGGATTTTGACCAGAGATGGCACGGAACTTGTCTTGGGGACAGAGCATGAGAAAAGACTCAGAGGCGGCACAGTGGGGAGCAGTGAGGAGTCCCGGTGGCCAGGAGTGAGCACTGTGGGAGCGAGGATTTGGAAGGATGGCCAGGAAGGTGGGCTGTGTCCAGACACGCATGCGTGACTGACTCTATCCCAAGGCAGTGCAGGCTGTGGGAGGATCGAAAGCAGAAAAGAGGGCGCCTGGGTAGCTCAGTTGGTTAAGCGACTGCCTTCGGCTCAGGTCATGATCCTGGAGTCCCGGGATCGAGTCCCACGTCGGGCTCCCTGCTCGGCAGGGAGTCTGCTTCTCCCTCTGACCCTCTTCCCTCTCGTGCTCTCTATCTCTCATTCTCTCTCTCTCTCAAAGAAATAAATAAAATCTTAAAAAAAAAAAAAAAAGCAAGCAAGCAGAATAGACCTGCTTTAGGGAAATCCAAGGATCTGTGGGCCTTCTGGATGTGCCACGGGCAACTCGAACTCAACCTATCCAAACAGAACCCACTATCTGCCCCCAAACCCGCCCTTCTTCTGGTAATCCCTACTTTGGTGACCCGCATGTCCATCTACCCGCTTATCAAAGCCAGAAGGCAGGGGTCAATGGAGACTCTTCCCTGTCCCACGCTGCTCTACACTTGCAAACTTGGCTGGACACTGCAACCACTGGGGAGTTTTTCAAAATATGGATGTCTGGGCCTGTCCCCAGAGATTCTCATCTGATGGTGTGGGGAGCTGCTTGGGCACTGAAATCTTTATTTTTAATTCTCCTGGTGATTGTCATGTGCAGCCGAGCTTGAGAACCACTGCTCCACAGCAAGGCCACTTCCAGCAGACAGTAAATCTTCCCTCTCTCATCATTGCTCTCCAGCAGGCTTTCATTTTCCCTTGTTTGGACTGACGACAAGTTTGTCAACGAAAGGCAGTTTGGAAATTCAGCCCTCGAGTCTAAGAGCTGGGGAGTTGGGAATCTGGAGCTGTGGGGAGCATCCTCATCGACTTTGACAGTCATGGAAAGGGATTCAGTTCACCAGTGGAGAAAGCAACGTGTCAAGGGAGGTCAGGGGAATAGGCACTAGAGCAGTGGCCGGGTGCAGGAGAGATGTGGGACAACCACACAACTCAGAGTCATGGGAAGGGCTGTTTCACGGGGGAGGGCTCAACCGTCTCAAATGCTGCGGAGTTGGAAGGGTGATAAACTGACACATGACCCCCGGATTCAGTGACCGCCTGGTCATCAGTGACCTTGTGAGGCAAGTTTCAGTCAAGTGGTTAAGATGGAAACTGGGGCTCTGAAGAATAAGTGGTAAGACAGGAGGCAGGACAGTGAATGGAGACTAGGTTTTTGGTAAATATGTCAAGGAAATAAATGTACTGTCTCGAGAAAGTGGCAAAGCCAGGAAGTTTTTTGGACTAGAGGAGACTCAAGTAAGCCGTGGGTAGAGAAGAGGTCTGCAGAGAAAGACCGTCTGAAGATTCCAGGGGGGAAGCTGGGGCAGAATGACTGATGGGAGGGGACTAATTCAAGGGCACAGGAGGGGGAAAATACAAAGAAGTATCATGGCAATTGGGGAGGGGGTGATTAAAGCTCATACGGGATGGCCTCACTCTTTTAGTTAATAGAGTAGGAGGGAAAGTTGTCCACTGAGAGTAAAAGATGGGACTTGCAGAAAGCAAAGAGGCTGGGTGGATGCACTTTGGCAAACACGACAGGGAATTAGCTGGAGAGCAATAAAAAGAACTGTAGCAAAGCCACAATAATTGAAACTGTGTCATGCTGGCACACGAACAATCAATGAAAGAATACAGAGTCCATAAATAGATGCAAACACACGTGGAACTTTAACATGTTGCAAAGACAGTACTTCACATCAACGAGAACAAATGGATTCTCCAATAAAACAGTAATGGGACAATGGAGTAGCCATCTGGAAAAATTAAGATGGATCCCTACCTCAAACCTTATATCAAGATGAGGTCCAACTAAATAAAAAAAATTTTTTTTTAAGTTAAAACAAAAATATGCATTATTGCGCACCTGGCTGGCTCAGTCCATGGGAGCACACAGTTCTTGATCTCAGGGTCGTGGGTTCAAGCCCCATGTTGGGCATAGAGACTACTTAAAAAAATTATATATGTATATGTGTGTGTGTGTACATATATATACACACACACATATATATAAACTTTCTACATGGTAAAAAAAAATCATAACAAAAACAGACAATAAACTGGAAAAAATATTTGCAACTCTCATCAAAGGGCTAATTTCTCTAAAACATTTCCTATAAATAAGTAGAAGCAGGGCACCTGGTGGCTCAGTCGTTAAGCGTCTGCCTTTGGCTCAGGTCATGGTCCTAGGGTCCTGGGATTGAGCCCCGCATTGGGCTCCCTGCTCCGTGGGAAGCCTGCTTCTCCCTCTCCCACTCCCCCTGCTTTTGTTCCCTCTCTTGCTGTGTCTCTGTCAAATAAATAAATAAAATCTTAAAAAAAAAAAAAGAAATTAAAAAAAAATAAGCAAAAGGCCAGCAATCTCATAGACAAATGCGCCTGGGATATGAAACATGTATACAGAAAAGGTACCCATTTGAAAAGCTGTGAACATCACTCATTAAAAAAAGAAATACAGGGTGCCTGGGTGGCTCAGTTGGTTAAGCAACTGCCTTCGGCTCAGGTCATGATCCTGGAATCCCGGGATCGAGTCCCACATTGGGCTCCCTGCTCAGCAAGGAGCCTGCTTCTCCCTCTGACCCAACCCCCTCTCATGTACTCTCTCTCATTCTCACTCTCTCAAATAAATAAATCTTTAAAAATAAAATAAAATAAAATAAAGAAATACAAATTAAAACAATACTCAAATACACTTTTTACGATCAGATTAAAACAAATGCTAACACGTTGCTAAACACGTGGGGAAACATAATCTCACACATCCCTGGTGGAGAGGTAAGCTGGCACGGCCTCTGAAGAGGGTAATTTGCCTACATTTATCTAAATTACAGGTGCATATACCCTATGACCCAGAAATTCCACTTCTAGGTTGTATGATCTTTGTGACATTTCTGTAACCTTCCAGTTTTTTCAAAATAGAGTTTTTTTAAAAAGCTAAAAAAATTCTGGCTTTCTGGTTTCTCTTGAAAATTGGGCAGACCTGGCCACTGGGTGCCTGCCTGGACCCGACACCACCCTGGGAGCTGAGCAGTGGCCTCCTCTTTATGTGGACAGGCGCTTGCCGCTGACACCTACGGTCCCGGCTACTTCCTGCGGTCACTCCCTAGGCTGCTTCACTCATGTGCACTGCATGAGGTGTCCCCTCCTGCGGGAATCTGAGTCTGGTTAGCATAAATCAGTTCCTCAAGGATCAATCACTGATCATCAAACTAGACCCGGAGCAAGGCCAGGGAGGGGTTCCCGCCACATGGCTCCGATTACAAGTGGCAGCCTTCTCGTTGCGTTGTTTACCTAATGCCATTCCCCCTTCTTCTTTACTGAAGCCCGATTTCTTTGGATCAGGCACGTGCTTAGCTAAACGCTCCATTTCCCAAGATCCCCTGCAGCTACTGTGTTCATGTGACACAATGCTGACCAATACGTAAACAGAAATCTACTGGGAAGGCCTTCTGAAAATAGGTTTTTTCCCTGATCAAAAGAGACAAACGTTTACTGTCCCCCGCTCCTGCCTGGACTAGGAATAAGGGCCCGGAGTCGGAGCAGCAGAAGACAGGTTGAGAGGGCAGGGCAGGAGGTGAGAAGAGGTCTCGGGCCGCTGCTGAACCAGCCGTGGAGCGCCTGTCTCCAGACCCCTTGCTGCAGGAGACAACGAAACGCCTGCTTTATGAGGCCCTGTTTGCCAGACTTCAGCTGCAGGTAGCTGAACACAGTCCTAACTGAAACAACACGACATCGGACACTTAGCTGAAGAGGAGAATGGGGTCGTGGAAGGGGGCTGACGCCAACACTGGGAAAAGGACCTTGGCGATCACCAGGGGCAGTTTGTGGACATTGTGGCATGGAGTAAACTCTCCAAAAACATCAGTTATTCTCTGAATAACAAGGACCAGAGACACCGGGTCATCATGCTCCACAGGACTGAAAAGTCTGGGGCAGGTGAGGGGTGAGAAACCCTTAACCAGGCCTGTGCCTGGAGGGGCTACAGGAGGCTTCTGAGGAGGAGCAGCAAGAGTCTGGGCAGCGTGCTG